GTACTTAAAATATATACAACAGTATAGAAAGGTATACTATTACTTAAACATATGCACACTGTGTACCTTCTATACCTTCTATATTTTCTATATTTATGCACAGTCTTCGGACCGTTCAGGTATATATTTCACCACATGTTTTACTTGTATAACTATGTACGTGACAAATTAAGGAATCTAGTTATCCAGGTAAGCAAGAAATCCTGCTTCGTGGAATACCCCCCAGAATACCCCCCAGAATACCCCCCAGAATAAGTTCTCTTATTTTTTATTGTGCCATTGTTCATCTGCATATATTCTAATGAGAATTTTTTTCCGAGCAAACATAAATTTACTACCCAGATAAATAGCTTTAAACAGACTTTTGCACAGTACTTTATACACAGGCACTTGGGCCCCATGTCCATTTATTACCATTTATTCTGAACATCACTGTATGCAGTCACTGAACGTCACTGTATGCAGTCACTGAACGTGACTGTATGCAATCACTGAACATCACTGTATGCAGTCACTGAACGTCACTGTATGCAGTCACTGAACGTCACTGTATGCAGTCACTGAACGTCACTGTATGCAATCGCTGAACATCACTGTATGCAGTCACTGAACGTCACTGTATGCAGTCACATGGCTCTCCCCAGTTTTCATGCTGACATGCTAACAGCCAGTAGCCCTAATGACTCAAGGGCAAAAGTTTGTGGTGGTTTTCAAAAGCAGCTTTTTGAGCAACCGAGAGGTCGCACGATATCGAAGATTTCAGAATAACGCAGAGATTTAATCTGCAGAAATGTTCTGATACATCTCACCTTACTATTGCGCAGCTAAAGCCAGCTAGCTGTCACACCTCTGCCAAAACATGGTTTGGTATACTCAGAACGAAACTATCACCCCGCCTTTCCACCACTGCTTTCTAAAGCAACATGCACACCATCATCTCGAGGACCAAAATATGACACACAGATCTGTCATGTTGACAGCGTGTGGATATTATAGTCTGTTTACATTTACATAAATACATGATCTTTCAGTGTATATACCATTTGTCATTTTATTATGCCTTAGAAACTTTTACATTTTCACTAACTTTCACTAGTTTCTGAAGGACACTAACTGATTGGGAAACAGCAAATATGAAGGACTCAACCTAGCATTTTAAGGCTTAAGCTGTGCTATAAGGATCAGATGGCCACAGTTGTTACTCACTTGAGCAGAGGCATCACACTTGCTCACCATTGCACAGTACAGTATATGCTGTGAGCACACAAGCTTATCAACACACATCTCACTGGCCTGGTGTTCAGGTTTCTCAAGGTTAACTGTCTGATTGTATGTGTTACTTACTTGAAAAACCCACAGACTTCATTTCAGTCACCAGGAATAACTCCCTTTCAACAACCATATTAGCACGTCTATATTCTATACACCACTATTTAAAATTTTTCTAATTTATCTTTTATAACACATAGCATCGATGAGAAGCACACACGACTGCATAGGACAAGAGGGTATAGAAAATAGATGGATGGAAGTACAATAACAATAAAGATATTCTATTCTATTCTATTCTATTCTATTCTATTCAATTCTATTCTATTCTATGCTACCACAAAGTCATGTATCATGTGTCATGAAACACAAAAAGTTTTTCCCTAGTTTCATTCAGTTATAATATGCTTTTGACGCAACTTTAGAATCTGTTGTACCTCAGTTCCCAACATGTCTCAAAGTGACTCATCTCAGCGATAAACAGCCGTGGGGGCGTGACGAGTGACGAGCGCTCAGCTCCTTCGCCTCTTCAGGGCATCCAGAGACGCTGCAGCTCATTCAGGGATTATTATTCTTACTGTGTGCTTCCACCTGAGCTGAGCAGAGCCTCAATCGGTTAGACACGCCTTGAGTGCTCCAACAAAGGTCCCGGCAAGAGGAGCATTTTGAAAAGCACGTCAAAGCCACAGCTTTCTCTTAATCTCGCATTCCTTTGTACCTTTTTATCTACAGTTCAAATTTATTTCCATCAGCCTACGTAGAATTTAGGAGGAGGTGAGATTACTGGCTGCTTCANGAGCAGAGCCTCAATCGGTTAGACACGCCTTGAGTGCTCCAACAAAGGTCCCGGCAAGAGGAGCATTTTGAAAAGCACGTCAAAGCCACAGCTTTTTGTTCTTCTCGCATTCCTTTGTACCTTTTTATCTACAGTTCAAATTTATTTCCATCAGCCTACGTAGAATTTAGGAGGAGGTGAGATTACTGGCTGCTTCAAGCCAAAATTTCCCGGGACTGAGCCATTAATTTAGGAATCTGCTGCTCGTCAATCATAGAGACGGCCTATGGGAGGAGGAAGAGGAGGAGGAGCAGAGAGCAAACTCTCTCTCCCCACGAGCTGCTGTGTGGAAATGCTTCAGAGCTGCCCTGGTGTCACAGGTGCCCCAGGTGCTTGCGCAGGCTCATGTGCGCAGGCTCATGTGCAGAGGCTCATGTGCGCAGGCTCACACACGCTCGTCTGTTGGTTCACACCGAACACGCTGTTCCCTCACTGTGTTCTGTTGTGGCCTTGCTCAGACTCACTTATAGCAAACGGTTGACGGGGTGCGGCAAGGTGGTGTCTGCCACTGCAGGGCACTGTTGTCACCATCGAGGTGCCACTCCTGCTGTTGAGGTGTAGTCTGATGCCATTGCTATAGAGTGGTAACACACACAGACACAGTCACACAAACACAGACACACACACAGATACACACACAGACACAGTCACACAAACACAGACACACACACAGATACACACACAGACACACACACAGCCATACAAACACACACACACACACATATACACACACAAACACAGACACACATAGCCACAAAAACAGTCACACACACAGCAACACACAAACACAGACACACACAGACACACATAGCCACAAAAACAGTCACACACAAACACAGACACACAAACACGTGTGTGCACATACACACATGCAGGGATGGATAATGTGGGTAGAGAAACCTTATAATGGCAGTGAAACAAGTCTTCAGTACATTAAAATTCACCTGTTTAACCACCTATCCTTTATAGCTGCTTGTCCAGTACGGAGTCACCGGGGGCCTATCCCAGGCAGCTCGGGCAGGGGACCCCCCCCCAAGCAGAGCGCGAGGCCGTCGGAAGACACACACATTATTACATACGACAGGCTCTTCAGAGATGCCTTACCACACATTTTTAGACTGTGGGAGAAACCCTAAGTGACTCGAGAAGAACACACACCGAGGTGGGATTTGAACCCTCACGCTTTGAGTTGTGAAGTTGACCAGCATACCACCAGCTCTTGTGCTACTCAGGTCAAAAATAGGCACTTATAAATAGTCTGTGCATAATGTTGATATTTTTTAAAAATCAACACCTAGCAGCAATGAGTACAGTATATGGAGAATATGTGTCAGACTGAAATAAGGCAGAAAACATGTCAGTGTCAAGATCAGATATATGATCATCAACGTGGGTTAATGTTTCCTCCTGAAGCTCAGCGAAGCCCCAGTTTCAGTGCATTCTCATGTACGCCTGTGCTTAGTGTGTTTTTCCATCATTACCACCTATGTAAGCTCTGTGAACCCTGAGGACTGTAAGACAGCGTGGGTTTGATGCGACATGGCGGCCGGGCTGCATGATGCCCCGTGAATCAGAGGAAGTGGCCTGTCTGTGAGGTCCAACTGGAGGAGCAAGTGGGGACCAGGAAACAGGATAGTATGGCTTCCTGAGATTCACCTGTCTGGGAGTCCCCGCAGAGACAAAGACACAATGAGAGCCAGGAATAACAGCACAACACCCACAGAGAGCAGTATTACCGTAATCTATATATTATCTGGTTATTCCTTGTAAATTTTCACAAATGTGTTTTCCCCTCACAAAGTGACAGTCTAGTCAAGCTGTCTCTAGCCCTCCTACTCCACAAATTATGAAAAGTTTGCAAAAAAAATTCTTTATCGGTATTTCCAAATGGGGGGAAAATAGTTACGGTAATCCAACTGTTCTCTTTAATTTTAGCAGAGCTTTTCAATATAGAGGCATGTTTTGTTTAATGGTTTGTGGAGCCAGAATGTTACAAATTGCTCTGGATGACATGTTTAGGAAAGCTGGATGACAGGCAGATGGTGAATACGCAGCCCAGCGCTCATAAATCTGCCCAGGGGAGAGGAGCATGTTTTCAGCAGACGCTGTTGCGGGGGACTCGCCGCGGCTGCCTGTCCTTCCTAAATTGGTAGCAAAGCCACCATCTTGAGCTTCTCAGCCGAACGCTTCCTATTGCCTCACTGAAGGCACTGCGCTGGGCGTCTGCGCAGTGAAACCAAACCCAGGGCCGCGGACGATAGTCCCCCTACCCCCGACTGACACAGGCCGTTAATCTCTGCACTGCGAATTACAGTGAGCAGCTGCCATAAAACGGATCATGCTGGCACTGCGCATGCAGCACATGACGTACATCAGGCCAAGTTCCTCAAAATCCCCAGGATGTATCTCTTGGTCATTATGAGGCATTATGAAGCACAGATGTCTGCTGAGCATGTGTGTTTTTGTGCTTCGTAACCAGAGTATTGAGAAGAAGCGAGTGAGGAAATAGACGATTGCGGACATATAAAGAGATAAAAACAGTAAACAGTCAGATGTGGTCCAACCTCTATATAGTATATCTGACAGCTGAGGGCACAAACAACGATAAAACATAAACAGTATATGCTGTGAGCACACAAGCTTATCAACACATCTCACTGGCCTGGTGTTCAGGTTTCTCAAGGTTAACTGTCTGATTGTATGTGTTTATTGCATGAAAATGTAATCAAGCTATATTTAAATGTTAAAGCTGACCATAGTGAAACGCCAGCATAAATAAATAACCTATAAGAGAGGAGTAACCAAGAAGCGAAGGAAGCAGAAGCTGAAAGACAGACCAAGGAGGAAATACAGGATAAAAACACTTGTACTTGCTGAAATGACTCTTTAAACCATAAACAATTTACCAAGTTATTTTATTTAAGTAATTCTGGTTAAGTTCCTTGCTCAGGGATATTACAGTAAAGTCCTCCTTCAGCTCCTTAACTGCTGGTACCCAGCATGTGAAAAAGCACAACAGGACATCATAGTCATTCGGTGTCAGGATCTCAGCAGGTTACATAACAGCCCGATGGCATCATGTGACCCTGCAAAGTGTGGGCCAATGCCAGACAGGAACCTATGGGGCCAAGCTTTGACCCATGAGGGACTCCCCCCTCCCCCACTACACCAATGGCTCCTCCCACACACACAAACCTCTAAAGCTCTATTGTGGCTTCTACTGTCTTCCTACTCATCTATATGTGATAGATGAGTACAATTTTTTTTGTCATTTCCAAAGTGTGGCTAGTTATTTATAAACATGGAGTTCCCCGGCTAGCTCATCCTGCTGCTGTGGAAGCAAAAACACTGTATTGAGGAGCAGTATCTGTACTTGTCACTGTATGAATGCCTTCAGCTCACAGGCACCATACTTAGTCTGTGGAAGTGACATAATTGAAATGCTGAGGTGATCTGTCTGCATTTGCTCCTTTGACCCCCCACTGCTTTCAGCCTCGATTCACGTTCAGCACAGATCCATGAGGGGCTGTATTTTCTGCAACAGTGTTTCTTACGGGACTGGAAAAGAACAAACAGCAGCCTGCGGGCTCAGAACAGGCTATGACACGGGCTCCCGTGCCAGTGTCCCGCCGACTCATGGTAGGACTTGTCCGTCTCTGCTCGGTTGTGTAACCGAACCAGTAGCGTTGTGCAATGGTTAGCAAGTGCGATGCCTCTGCTCCTAGTTTCCTGCCGTGACATGCCGTAAATCACGTCCCTTCTTTCTTTTTTCACTTCAACCGACCGGCCATCGAGACAGGGGACCGCTCACAGTGACACCATTGTCGAATCGTAGCCTGGTTTTGAGCATGGAGAAAATATGAACACTAAGAAGAGTAAGGGGGGAAAAATGGATTTTTGTAGTGGATTAAGAGCTTCTTTAAGGCTGATATAAAGACTTGTTCAACGTAGTTACTAATTGCGTGATGAAAAATAAACATTCTGCTGGATATGCCGCACATGTAAGCATCTTCTTTTGATTTAAAAGTAAAACATTCACTCAGGATTTGGCCTGAAGCCTCCTTGCATGGGATGGTTCACAGGCAGAGCAGAGCTGGGGACGGCCATGCAGCAGAGTGAACTCTTGGACTTCAGTTTTCCATCAATGTGTTTACTGTTCCAGTCCGTGTCATGTGCTCTACATCAACTATAGATATTGATGCATTAAACAGAACTTGAGGTTCTGCCCAAACGTTTTTCTTTTAAACCTCCACACTAACATACATCTACGATTAATGTCTATGTGTGGGAAAGACCACATTCTGTGAAGTTTTGTAATTTAAAAATATTTTTTATATTATTTAATGTTATAATATATAATATTTGAAAAATAACTGTATACTAATGGAATTGCATTAACAAGTGGCAGCGGACTGATTAAAACATTTTAAACAACTGTATTTGGCATTAGTCACAGTATTAATAATTTGAAGTTATATGTAAATGAGTAATAGGAATCTTTTTCCCAAGATGCAGTGCCTTCCAGGTTTGTTGAGAGCTTGTTCTAACATTTCCCCAAAGGTAATATTTAAACTCTGTCATTGCTTGTCTTTCCTTGGTTTGTCTTCGAATTACCGCTGGCTGGGCAGATGATTAAACGAGGAGACGTTTAGCTTGTCTCGCAGCCCCCAACCCCCCCCACACACACACACTTCCTGCCCCACTTAGAGTGACCTCACACACCTTACACTTCCCGCAGGTCCCCAGAAAAGCGTGCTCAAAATGCAGCTAGGGCCTCAGTGATGCAAAGTGGCCGTGATCACCTCCATCCACGCGGGTCACCACTGGTACCGGTAATGGCTCAGTGTCTGTGTGGGCCCACAGCTGGCCACGGCGTAACAGAGCCCCGTTCATTCATCCGACTCTGCACTGCGGGGTCTGTGTGTGGGGGCTTTAATATAAAACACATCCCTCCTCAGTGCCACCCCAGGACATCTGCCCCTGTCCTTGCTCTTATACCCAGGCTCCTCTCAGCTGAGCTGGAAAGCCCATACTGCTTGACATTTGTTTACAAACAGTACGGTCTGCCAAAGCTTTTTATACATGAGATTTTAAAAATTGCCACAGCACGCTGAACTACAATGGGAAATCCTGCCAGAAGAAGATCAGAAGAGATACAGTGTACAGTATGTCTCTTGGGTTATGGCATAAAAGAACTAGACCCTACATGGGGACATTTCCAACATCTGACACGTTTTGGAGATCTGGTTTTGTAAATTTCGGAAAAACTTTTGTTCGATTGTCCGTGACATTTTCTCTTCCTACTTCGCTATCTGGACCTCTTGCGCTCTGCCTTTTGCAAACAAAATTTCCCTCTTGCCATTTCACATTTTTTTTCTGCATTTTGCCTCGCAGATTCAAATTTGCATCTTAAAGACAATCTTTATCTGTATTCCTAGCAGCCTGCACCACTATTATAACAGGGAGCGTCAGTAAATGAATGTTGTGACATTCCAAATTAAGCAAAAAAAATTCTCAGAGCCCACTCTCTCCATTTGAGTGGGTGTATATGTGTGTTTAGTCTACCTCCCAATCAGGGCCCTGTCTGCAGCTCAACCTGAATTGGGTTGGACCAGCCAAGCATGGACCCCACCCCGGAGAAAGCAGGTCAGCGAGTGGCTTCTCTTGGTTTGGGACAAACTGCCACAGTCAGCAGTTATTTGTGGGAAGACCTATTGCCCAACTTCCACCTCTGCTCCTTGGCAACATGAATTACTCATTCGCTTATCGCACGAGTTTTTAAGGATCGTCGGGAAAAATACAATTTGATAGAAGTTCTGCTCTTTATCTGATAGCTAAAAAGAAATTCCACTGTGGGTTTGCAAAAGAAGTCATGTGGGAGGCAGAAGTCGAGAGGCTCCTGAGAGTTACGTGACTTACTGTAATCGCGGCCCGACGCTGCTCGCACAGGAAGGGAAAGCGTAAACGGCACTAATGGCCACTGATGCCCTATTTGTTCTATAAAGAGGAAGTGACTCAGGTTATCATGATTCCCGCCCTGCTGTCGCGCTTCGGGGGAATATGTGACGTGTTCCGGCAACAAGCCGCTTTTCCACTGCAGGTGCCTGCAGGAGTCTAGGAAGCAGACGGCGGCAGACGGCCACAGCTACTGTCCCGGTGACGCGGAGGGCCGGCTCTACCCTCCTCCCCACAACACGGGCAGTTCTGTGTCACCTAATGCTGCAGCATCCTGTTCTTCTCCCCTTCTGGACACTCTGAGAAAAAAAAAATATATATAATTAAGCATTAAAAGTGAAAATAAAAGGTCTACACACCACTGCATAGAAGTGCTTAGGTCTGCTGCCCCTCAAAGTGAACACACACACGTGTCCTACACTGTGTTCAACATCAATTCCAAGATGAGGTAAAGCCTGCCAGCAGAAGCGTGCATCACTGAGGAGGCCCTGATTCGGGAAATAGGTGCAGGTTTGCGAGGGAGCATCTTCATGTATTGGGACACGAGAAAATCTGTGACACTGCATCTGTTGGTAACTGTAAAATTAGATATAAAATATTTTTAGATATAAAAATAATCACAGTAGCAGAAACCTCTGGTTCCTCCTGACAGAGCTAATCGTATAGACCTTTAAGCATCATGGAAGGTGTGGTCTACAGCACCACCAGGTATTACCGGTTATTGAACCGCTGGATGTCGTAAGCATAGGCTTGAAGTATTTTAGTTATTGGTTTGGTTTCCAAGCGAGGTCCAGACTAAACAACAAACAAACAAACAAACAAATAAAATGCCACAGAAAAAATGTTCCCTTCAATGCACAGAAATTTCCTGTACATTTATTTCTGGAAGTCACAAGATGAAACATGTTTGTCTTTTTTTTGCCTTTGTCCATCTTACCTAAATAAAATATAGTATAAAAGTAATATTGGTGTGACGCTGGTACTGATGCTGAATGATATTTCTTTTATTTCTATTCTAGCAGCAATGTGACAAAAGCCCCCCCCCAGCAGCAACAGCAAAGTCCCAGAACATTGACGTCTCTCTCAAAAACCAGCCTGCTGCTCTCATCATTCCCTGACACACTGTAATGCTGCAGGTTTATCTGAAGCCTTCTCAACAGACCTTATACTGTCACATAAACACAAACCCTTATCACATCTAGTTAACTTTTAAATGAGTGGAACAGTGACGGCAGCAATGAATTTGACTCGACCCGAAGAGTTATGGTTCTGCAAATTGACCTCTTCACTGTTGTGTACGTACATTCATGGGATGGAGATAGTTTGTTCTTTAATTGATTACTTTGGATTTTTGCCTGGCTTACTTTGGGGGAGGGTGGTTGTAAATAGCACACTCTTATATAACTAAATAATCAGACTGGTGTTTAAATAAAAAGTTTAAGGGTCAAAATCAATATTAGTGGGTCATTCATTGTTTACCTGAGCAATTGTGTTGTTCGCAATAAATAATGAACAACAAATCCCTTAATTATTCTTTGGATTATTATTATTATGATGATTTTAATTGTTTAAGCATTTTACTTAAGGCAGTAACTGTTTACTAGGTGATTAATATAATGCACACGCCCTTTATTCACAAGTACTAGACTGCAGAAACACAGATTCTGTAATGACGTGTTTGCACAAGTCTTAATTCTAAAATGATCAGTATTTTTCATTAAAATGCACATTAATCATGTAAATGTCTGGGAAGTCTTAACTCTTATACGTTACACGTTCATTAAAGACTGGCAGTATTCATTTTAAAAATTCAGAAGTTCAGAAATCAGAAGTAGTTACTGTCTACCACCTAACACTATGACATGATATAATATTGCTTTTTGAGGATTATGGTTTTATTAGGTAACATAATCCAAGATATTATGTGTCAAGGGTCTGCGTTATGTCATAAAAGGCTCATCTGAGTAGCTCTGTGGTGAAACAGGAAACACGAAGAGCTCCAGTACGTGGGAAGACATGTGCTTTGTAGAACTACTGTGGGAAGTTCACGGTTCGTCATTCACTTTGATCCACTATCCTCACACACAAAATAACTTGAGTACGTGATTCCTTGGGGTTAAAGAGTTAAACAAAAAAGTTGTGAAATGAGTGTTTGAACTACCTCCTCAGGGACAAGGTTCACAGTCTGCTTTTGGTGTGCTGTGGGTCATCTGACCATATAAAGTTTTCTGAACAACAAGAACACCTGGCAAATACAGATATAGGGCATTTTGGAAAGTACCTGGACCGTTCCCCTCACCGCAAATCACTTCTTTCCTCATACTTTCACTTTGGCCTCTAGTGAAATTGAACACAGTAAATCACAGGAATCCCCTTGCGGAGCTGCGTTCCAAACGCTGCTGAAGATAGTATTTTTGATGCTAATTTGCAGTGTACTTGCATATTTAAAACAATGTAATGGCTGATTATAGGACATAGATTTGGTTTTATGAGAACTGATATGAAAAGAGCTGCTTTTCATGTGTGGGACTTTACCAGAGATTCAAAGACACACCTTAGAATATACAGCAGGACCCAAAGCCAGGTCATTTCCCAGCTATCTGATGCAGTCTCAGGATGTGTGGATGCACTCATGGCTGATACTGGGAACTCTTCCTTTCCAAATAAAACACCAGGGGAGACAGGAAACAGTGCAGGCAGGCCACACTTTCCCTTCTGTTTGAGGATCGAAGTCCTCCGGTTCAGTGTTTGCCGATGTCGCGGGGTCTGGGCCTCAGGCAGAACACCCTGTCACATCACAAGCCTGTTCAATGCCACTATATGCTACAGGGAAATCTACTGCCCCCCCCCCCCACCTTCCCTTTACCCCCAGCCTGTGGGTGCAGAGAGCCACGATACCAACAAGCAGCTTGACAGAACCTCAGCTCAGAAATCGGCTCAGCGGGGGAGTGCATGATGCCGAATATCCGGAAATGATAAACCTGAGGAAGAACATTTAAAAATCCATCCATCCATTTCCTGTAACTGTCCGGGGCCTATGGTCACAAGGCAGGGAACAGCCCAGGATGAGGCGCCAACCCATCACGAAGCAATAAAATCCATCAAATTTGAAATATTTTTAATCCATAGTGTTTCAGTGCAAGTATACAGGCTGCGTGATATGTGACACGCCCTTCTGATGGTGTGACAAACACAGACTCGAGGTAGAAAGCATGAATTATGTCCTGCCACCAGGATACCCGGCAGAACCCACCATTATTTAAGAAACCATACACCACAGTCCTTGTGGTCACTGCTCAGCTTTGTCTTAACAATCGATACCTTGTGCTTTGACCACCCCCATTTCCTGGTACCCGCTGCTCAGTCACATGACCTGTGTCATTCACAGCACATGGGGCCAGTCGGTGAACACCATTATGATGCTGCTTCCAACATCCAGACGCTTCGGCATAACACCCACAAAACGGGCTTCAGTATATATTAAACTGACGGACCGTATGAAAGTGACTAATGCTGTGAAGGATGCTGAAGTCTGGAGTCTGAGACGACCAGACATCTGCAAGTCATCGTGCTGCGCTCTGAAAGTGGGTATGGGGGGGAGGGTTAGGGAGCTGTCTGAGGCACACAAATAGAACCCCCACTCCAGGCAATCACATGACTGGCAGGAAAGTGAAACCTTCCCTGTGTTACGGCTTTCCAGAATGCAGGGTTAGTACAGGAAGGGGGTATGACAGTGAGGATGGGGAGGATTTGGCACTAGGCTGCGTGACACAGGACACAGGTGTCTGCATGCACCGTCCCCTGCAGCACCGATTCCCAGTCCAGTCCTCAGGGACCCGCAGACAGTGCAGGTTTTTGCTCCCCCCTGGGAGCTGGGAGGGAGCAAAAACGTGTACTGTCTGTGGGTCCCCATGGACCGGGTGGGGAAACACTGCCCTACAGGGAACTTAAAGAGAGGCATCATCATGGGAGAACCCTGGGGCTCTGCCGCCCCTCCCCCTCCCCAGCGCCATCTCACCGCCCCGACTCTGACAGCTGCCTCAGATTGCGCCTGTCAGAGTCAGTCCGTCACGCCAGCACCCTCCCCTTCAGCGTTCCACAGCCGTGACGGGGCACTTTCTCCGCCTGCTCGTCCTGGTCCGACCCCCCCACCCCCCCACCCCACCCGGGCCTTCTTGTATTTCCACTGCGATACATAGCTTCGTGACGCCTCTTCCCCACTAATCCCGCACTACAGTAATTTTTTTTTTTGTTCCGGTAAATTCTCATCAGGCTGTGGGAATTCATGGGAATAGCACTTGAGTTCCTGATCCCAGCGCGTCCCCACCCTCCTCCTTGCCAGGACCTTACTCGCAATTCCATTCAGCAGCTGACATGAAAAACCAGGGGACGAGCTGCGCACATACACAAAGGAATCCCGTAATGATATATGACTCAGCAAGACGGTGTCGCATTCAGATTGACTGACCGCCCGGCAACATAAGAAGCCTGTGATTACACAGCCCTAACGTAATCTGCGGGGACAAACACCTGCACCTTAACGCGGGCACAAAGGAGGGGTCTGCCCAGGACAAAGGAGAGCAGTCGATGTTCGGAGATGGCCGACGCTGGAAGGTAGAGGGGAGTGGGAGGTGGCAGGGGGGCTGGGCTGCAGAGTAGACTGAGCAGTCACTGTGCTACAAGAAGATCCCCCCAGCGGCTGAAACAAACCCCGAAACAGGACACCAGCCCAGGCAAGACACCACATCCAGGCACACAGGGACAGGGGGCATCTTCACGCGAAAGATGGCGGCCTGGCCTCAGTGCCTCTTTAGGGCTGTTGGTTTGTCAGGCCTGAAGAAGCCCCCCCAGGGCTGCATTAACCTCCCCACATGCAGACCTGCTCATACCTGCAGAGCAGTTTGCCCCCCTGCCATCCAAAAAAAATCAGAACCCAAACCCGGCCATTCGAGCTACAGACTCGAAGGCCTCCTCTGGACTGCTGGCCGTAGCCATTTACTTTCAAACTCACTGGCAAATAAATGACAGCCTAACATACGAAACACAGAGTATTAGCAACAAGAAGAAATCACAGCAAATATTATGGTTTAGTTTTTTTTGGATAAGACGAATAAGGCCACAATTTTTACAAGCTTTTAAACCCAATTATAGGGGAACTTATCCATGTTCTATTAAATTACTGCACATTTTTACAAATAAAAAACAATGGACTGTCTTTTAAAATGTCCATCAGGCTCTGGAATCTTTCACTACACTTCAAAAACAAAGGAGAATACTTCAATCAGATGAACTGTTAAAT